TTACACATACTAATTGCTAAAAGAAACTTGAAATTAAATTAAGTTGTCGCAGGTCTCATTCATACCTCCAATGTTGTTCAAGGCGTGTTTCGATGCTTTTCTTAACCAAAAGCCCAATGTTCTTGGTAAGTAATGCAAACTCTTCATTCATTATGTTAAACTTTTGAGCCATTAAAGCTTTTGTAGTTGAAAGTCGCATGATCTGACGTTCTGAGTCTAAGTCTGGCAAACACTGGCTCAGCTTGGTTGTTATATGATTCATCACTTCTACTGCTTCGGTAGTTGGAACATTGTCCCATTTGTTGCAAACGAACAGGGCACAGTTAGGGGAGAACTCCATTTGCCTCTCATTTGTCAGTTTTCTTGTCTTCTCTAGGAGCCGCAGTATCTAAGTGAGTACAAAAAGGAAATTAGTTTATACAAGATGAAGTTGTTTGTAAACTGAATTAAACTAAGTAAAGGTCGAAATTTCTTTGGGCTCTTTCATACTTTTTACTTTACAGTTTATTTGGATTCTCGAATATGGCTGACTGTAGTTCTTCAAGTGATAGTGCTACCTCTTTACCCGATCACCGTTATCACCATGGTTTGCTAATAGTTATTACACAGTACGTGCAGAAATGTTAGTTAGTCATAACATAATATTTTTCTGGTTGTACAATTGTGTCGTTTTTTGAGCTCAAACAAAGGCATTTTTGAGAGACAGTCAACCAGAAGTGGCCTTTCTACATTTTCGGGCAAATGATCTCTGTAGTATATTAAACCGGAAATTTGAGTTGTTTAAGTTTACCGGAAGTATACTCATAGACATCCTACGATGCCATGCCCGTCCTGTTGTTGGCTTTTAGGATGCCTGTTGAAATCCTGTAGGATCGTGTAGCGATTAACCATTAAAAAATCTCTTCAAGAGTTTAGGGATTAAGCAATACAAATCTGGTAGCCGTCAAGGCATATCAATAGGTAATCATACAGGCGAGTTCCTTTTAGAATTTACTAAATTTTGCACGATATTATTCTTTTCAAATTATATCAAAGTTGCATTTGAGCAGGACAGGGAGAAAGCAATTTGGACTTTTTGAAAAACACACGAGTGAAAGAAAATTCCAAATAATTGAGAAAAGTGGTATGATTATCCTTTAACATGTTGAATAATGTACATGAAGAAATTTTCTTGATTAAAAATACTTTCTCAAAACAGTCTCATAGTCGTTATTGGACACAATATTACCTCAGTCTTCCTCGTCACTTCAAAGATGCCATTAACGATTGTGGAACATGATTGGTTCATATGTATTTCTATTGTTTATCAAACAATTACAGCGCGCCATTTTCTGAGATATTTGCATGTTGTATTTTAGTTTTTTTCCTATATTTCTCGTTTTTGCACTCACGGTGTCACTGTTAACTAAAAACTACATTGCTCTTCGAGTTGACGTGCGTTGCTTGATACACTTACTCGATCTTTTTGAACTCCACCTGCCAAGCACTGCCTCAATGACTTCCCATGAGCCTTCATCATCCGGAAGGTTATCGTCGTCCCATGTACTGAACATTTCGACGACGTCTTGTCGTTTCAAGAAACTTATTAACTCCTCAACAACGTTTCTGACGTTTGTCACGAGATGGAGTCTCAGTTCACCCATCACTGACTCCTGTTCGTTATGAAGCCTTTCCAGACGTTCCATTACACTTTCCAACCTTTCCTGTGCAGCTATCTCATGAGTGTGAATGTTATGTATAAATACATCCATCATCCAAATTATTCGATCAAGGAGTCGATCCAGCCAGCTGGAAAACAATTAAAATAAAATAAATGCAATAACCGACTTGCTACGCATTCTCAGTGTCAAATGAAAGCCTGCAATCAGATTAATTTGCATTTTTATTTTGCAACACATATAACCATCCGTTGAGTTTTGTCAGAGTGAAAATCCTCTATTGAAAACCGACGACTTGTCATTTGATTGTAAGATACACTGTCCAGCAATATGTAAACCCTCGGATGTTTAAAACTGTCCTTTGTCCTGAATCGTATAGGATGGAACTGTGCCCGACACAAAAGGGTGGCTAGCTTTCTAACAAAGGTGACGTTAGCAGGGACGTTTCCTTGAAAAGGGACTTTTGCTAGAAAAACAAAGGAAAAAGGAGACGTGTAGAAGAACGCAGGCTGATTTTTTAAATGTACATTGGGATGGTAATTTCATTAATATCGTTGGTGACGAATTACTGCTTAATTTTGGCGCGAAATTTCAGCGTTAATTTGTAATTTCACATGTGAAATTACAAAATTGCCATTGCAACCTGCCGTACGTCTCAGTGTCAAGATGGCGACGAAGTTTTAAAATGCCGTGAATGAATATGTCAGGGCACAAAAAGAAGCTTTAGAAAACCTGAACACACAAGAAAACATCAAGAAGGATTCTAACAGGTATTTTGCCGAAAAAGTCTGAAAAATTCTGAACTTTATGAGCCAAATTTAAGGTCTAAACACTTGAGGGTGTGGAGTTCTCGATCGATACGATCCAGGATAAACATGTCAAAATCCAAGATTGCTAACGTAATTCGTCACCCATGATATTAATAGGTAATCAAATGGTATACTCGTGAAATTAGGGAATAATTTCACTTGCGTTTTGTCCAAATCCTAATAATTTATAAGGATTTGGACAAAACGCGCGTGAAATTATTCCCTAATTTCACTCGTCACCATTTGATTACACATACTAATTGCTAAAAGAAACTTGAAATTAAATTAAGTTGTCGCAGGTCTCATTCATACCTCCAATGTTGTTCAAGGCGTGTTTCGATGCTTTTCTTAACCAAAAGCCCAATGTTCTTGGTAAGTAATGCAAACTCTTCATTCATTATGTTAAACTTTTGAGCCATTAAAGCTTTTGTAGTTGAAAGTCGCATGATCTGACGTTCTGAGTCTAAGTCTGGCAAACACTGGCTCAGCTTGGTTGTTATATGATTCATCACTTCTACTGCTTCGGTAGTTGGAACATTGTCCCATTTGTTGCAAACGAACAGGGCACAGTTAGGGGAGAACTCCATTTGCCTCTCATTTGTCAGTTTTCTTGTCTTCTCTAGGAGCCGCAGTATCTAAGTGAGTACAAAAAGGAAATTAGTTTATACAAGATGAAGTTGTTTGTAAACTGAATTAAACTAAGTAAAGGTCGAAATTTCTTTGGGCTCTTTCATACTTTTTTTTTTACAGTTTATTTGGATTCATTGTCGACTGATTTTGCACAGTCGTATTAGAGTTCCAATCTCGTGCTGCAGACACCGTTATCACCATGGTTTGCTAATGGTTATTACACAGTACGTGCAGAAATGTTAGTTAATCATACCATAATATTTTTCTGGTTGTACAATTGTGTCGTTTTTTGAGCTCAAACAAAGACATTTTTGAGAGACAGTCAACCAGAAGTGGCCTTTCTACATTTTCGGGCAAATCATCTCTGTAGTATATTAAATCATCTCAGTAGTATATTAAACCGGAATTTTGAGTTGTTTGAGTTTTACCGGAAGTATACTCATAGACATCCTACGATGCCATGCCCGTCCTGTTATTGGCTTTTAGGATGCCTCGAGAAACGTGTTGAGTGTATGTTTGATTTTTGTTGAAATCCTGTAGGATCATGTAGCGATTAAGCATTAAAAAATCTCTTCAAGAGTTTAGGGATTAAGCAATACAAATCTGGTAGCCGTCATGGCATATCAATAGGTAATCATACAGGCGAATTCCTTTTAGAATTTACTAAATTTTGCACGATTATCCTTTAACATGTTGAATAATGTACATGAAGAAATTTTCTTGATTAAAAATACTTTCTCAAAACAGTCCCATAGTCGTTATTGGACACAATATTACCCCAGTCTCCCGCGTCACTTCAAAGATGCCATTAACGATTGTGGAACATGATTAGTTCATATGTATTTCTATTGTTTATAAACCAATTACAGCGCACCATTTTCTGAGATATTTGCATGTTATATCTTAGTTTTTTTCCTATATTTCTCGTTTTTGCACTCACGGTGTCACTGTTAACTAAAAACTACATTGCTCTTCGAGTTGACGTGCGTTGCTTGATACACTTACTCGATCTTTTTGAACTCCACCTGCCAAGCTGCTGTTTATGACGTAAATGAAGGCAAAGGCATTCGGCAAATAATTGACAACTATATCATCCATGATATCTGACTCTCCAATACCAGGGCTGTCAACGATTACCACTCCTTGCTGAAAGAAAGAAACAACATAACGTTGACATGAAGTCGAACCTCCAGTAACAGCCTTTTTTGCATAATGACCACTTAATAGTCTAATCCTACGACCAAGTGTTTGTCAGTCTTTGAAAGCGGGTAGGGAAGTATTGCGTTGCAAGAAGATGCGAACCCAAAAGAAGGTACCCACTGCAATTACATTTTTTTAATTTCCCTGGAATTTAGTTTAGTGGCAAAATGTAAAAAAAAAAAAAAGCCAGTCGATGTAGAATTTCAGTCTCAAAAAAGAGTTAGGCCTGATAGAGGGGTCCGGGCCCCCCGGACCCTCCCCCTGGATCCGCCAGTGAAATATGTGCGCAAATAATCACCTTCAGCAAGCTGTGAGGCCAAAATAATTCCACTTTTTTGTACAGTGCTTTTTCTCGCAAACTTGCTGACTTGACATGAACGAAGGTGGATATTTGTTCAAGGTAAGAAGAAGAATCGTCCAGCTCTTTTGTCTCTGGATCCTTTCCTTCTTGCTTATAGTGCACCTTTATTATCCTTTTTTTCCCATACTTCAATTCGCAAATGGTGGATGTTGTGCTTAACACGGAGAATGGCAAGAGCTCTTCCCCTAGAATGAGATTTAACATACTGCTTTTGCCGGCGCTAGTCTCACCTGAAATGAAATCCGGTGCGAAAGTAAGCATTCATAAATTAAGTCAGCCTGCATGTTAGACTGTTAAGAATACTCTGGCCACCTTTTTCCTGAAAATACAGTTCTAATGCCTCCCTCTTCCTCTTGCAGAGGGAAATGGATGGAAATTCTAATGCTTATTGAAAACGAACGGAAATGTTTGCGAAGCACTTAAATGTGTGAGTGAAAGAAAAGCCAAAAACCTCTTTATTATCTTCATCATGAAAAAGTTGTCACGTAGAAAAAAAATCGAAATCTAGAATGCAATGGGCTAGCACTAATTAAAAGATAATAATTCCAAGGACCGCCGAAAAAGACACCGAGCGATAAAGGGTGGGACGCGAGAAGGGGATAGCCTGTAAGTGTCTTTGAATTAAAACTCCTCAGTCTCCCCACCAAATCGCTCACTTTTCACTTTCAACTTTTTCTCGTGTCAAAAGAGCGATGTAGGAGGGTCGGTTTACATGCACGTTTGCCATGTTTATCGTTTGTCTCTGCACGAACGAAGCAAAGTGATTGGCGTAATGCGTTGAAGTAAACTGTCTATCATAATTGACAAATCATTGAGCTTTACCAGGAGCTGGTATACCGGAATTTCGAGGTATTAGAAACCACAGGCTTCACTTACTTGCCTCCCCCAAGCCCCTACTCGGTTTTCGCGCAGCTTTTCTCAATGTGCTTTCCTTCCTTTCTTGGAGCATAGAACAAGCTACTTAAGCATTAGTCTTATTGTAGCTGGCAGTAACCTTCGGACGAACCAATGATCTCGAGACCGATCAATAGATCGCAAAAAAATTTGAATGATGATAAAACGTAACGCACCTGCGACAAGAACGACGTATTCCTTGTTCTCGATCCTTTCCATTCTGCTTTTTATGTTGGCATTGACATCACCCTCGCTTGTTTTTAGAAGATTTAGAAAAGTGGCATCAAGTTGGCTTACTACCTGTGAAACTTCATTATAGATCCGAAGGAGCTTTATTGACTTCAGCTTTTCCATTGTTTGTGCATCTGCAATTACCTCAAACGCCTAAAAAAAACCCCGTCAAATCAACGAGGGAGCAAACAACACTAGGCACTTAATGCCCTCTTAACCCTCTTAACTGGGGGTTCGCTTTTGTAGAGGTTTCACTGTATTTTAAATATTTCCATTAAAGGGGGGCGTGTATTCGAAGGACGGCTTTTATTCCAGGGAATACGGGGCCAGACAACTACGACGAGAAACTAATTTCTTTTTGTTTTTGTGAACTTAGATACAGTCCTTTGGAATTCAACTCATGAGAAATCGCTAACATTTGACTGAATTAAAGTAGTGTGAATAAGAGCGATGAAGTTTGAACCAGCGCGAATTCACTGTTTAGCAAAGTGTGACCGCGTTCGGTCATTATTTAGCGACGCCTTTTTAAACCAGGAGTAATCGGAGCTTAGGAGAGTGCGTTCGATATGTTTGCAATTGTTAGTAGGCGTACAGGTAGCAGTTGAGGGGGAAGGGTGGATGGTTCTTGCGATAGATAAATATGATTATGGCATATTTTGAACGCTAGGATTGCGTACAGCGAAACCTCTATTTAAACTGTGTGTCATTATGAAAAGGTTTTGAAGGCTTATGATATCGTACGCTTCGTCTCAAGTGCTTGTAATTTGAGAGACACTAGCCAGAGTGTGTCGGGCGTGTAAATATTTTGTGGCACAGCGGCCGCCGAGCCACACATTTCAGTAGATTTACTTGGTGGGGTACGGCCGCCGAACTAAACAACCCGGTTTCATTCTGATGCATGCACCAGGAGTCGCACACATTTTCCACACGGACGAACCATATTGAAAAATATGAAAGCTTAATCCGAAGTAAAATTTTACTCAGGGTGTTGAACGCTTTGGAAGATTCAACAAACACAGATCGCGGATATTAGACCTTCAGCAAACTCTTGAAATATGTACGCTTTGTGAAGACAAATAGCAGACCTTAGTAAACGTTTGAAGGACACACGACTCACCACTTGAGTTAGCGCGTCAAAGTGAGGCAAAACGTAATCAATCTCCTCAAAGCGAGGCAAATGTGTGTCGACACAAATGTAATCTCGAAAAAACCTCCCTTAATAATTGCACAGGACACCCAATAATGCACAGAACACCCAACACAAATAAGGGGTTGCGGTCTCTAGACTGCTTGCATTCCGCCTTTTCTCTTAAAATCCGTCTAGTTCTTACCTCATCCAGCGCGATTGCAAACCACGACGTTATTATTACAATAAGGGATTGAGACGACACGAGAAAACACGGAATGCTGACTCTTTTGTAGTAAACAAACCCTTTGTCAGCCCAGAAACGGAGTAACCGATTGGTCAATTGCACAGCGGTTGACAGATCATTGAGTGATCTTTTTAATCAGGGTGCAAAGAAAGTCAATTATAAATACCTTTGTCTTGAAAGTACCCACAATGATGGAATAAGGAATTTAAGTGAAGCTAACGGAATGAAGGTCCAAATAACAGACAAACGTTTTTGTTTGAACACAATGCTAAAAACCTGAACATATTATTGGTTAACAGCTTGTGAAAATGTCCAAATACTCAAGCTTCTGTAACGCTTTGAGTTCAACGCAATATTCACTCCCTATGTCTTCAACTAGTTTTACTGTTTTGCTCTCGGCGCTGCCACACTGTAGAATTTTTTCTAAGTCCACCGCAACACGTGAATGATTAACATGCATTTTAGACATTTTACAACTTAGAAAAACATTTTGTAAGGAAAAAAAACTGCGCTGAAACCGTGAAACCAAAGTTCTCAATGGACACACTAAACGACAACGTCTACAACGCGAAAAGCTGCCATTGAAAGCGCTTCATTCTGCAATTTGCCGCCAAAAATATTTTCCGTGGGAGTATTTCTCAGCCGCTGACAGGGGAGATGTTTATATTATTGAAGGGCATAAAAATTTGATAGCTTTCATCAGTTTGCGTCTCATTCAAAAGCAGTGCATTCAGAAAATCATTTTTCTGAAGAAGGTTTGTTTGGGAATCGGTTTTCCAAGTCAAGTTTTAAGTTCACGGAAAGGTGGAAAGTGCGAGTGCCGAGTCACGCATCAGTGAGCAAATAGCGTGCAAAGAAAAATTATGCAAATTTGTGCTTCATCTTGCTACAAGTAACCAGAGGTTTTAGGTTTCAAAAGAACAAAAATGTTCGTTTCATTTCTGGCAACTTTTCATCTGAAAGATTTTCGTGAAGAGTGAAAACAATACGATGTGATCTATATATTTTAATCAACAAACACCTACAGTATCGGTGTTTAGAATTTACCATACTGAAACGCAAGTGACCAATATTTGCTAAAACCATAATACTGTACATTTCTCACTCGAGTTCAGGATCAAAACCTTTTGTTTACGTTTCTCACAAATGATTATGAAGCAACATTTAGACAAATAGCTTTCTCTGAATCAGTAAGAATTAGTCATGGCAACATTTACCTCCAAAGTTTTTTCAATATCTGCTTTTACTTTATGCGCGGGATCTCAATATGTCTCGTCTGACATGTAATGCGATACTTCGTCTTGTTTATGCAGATTTCACTTCGTAGGAGCGACTTTCAGTCCGCAGGAATTTATCAGGAATTTAAAACATTTATCTTACAGTACTATTTTAATTCTCCGAAAAATCTTCACTTGCAGTTAAGCACAGAATTCAATAGCCCGATCGCAAAATCCACCAGCCCAGGGCTGTCGGACACGACTTTCTTTCCACGCTGGTTTAATTCAAGATTAATTAAATTACCTCGACAGCTTTGTTGTCCCCAGACAGAACAAAAAAGTCAGCAGTCTCTTATTTTTTCTTCTCGGGCTTACGTCGTCGTTTCTCACGGCTCGCGGCTTTGCCGCTCGCGTGCTTAGGTTTCGTGTGCAGTAACTTTGCAAAGAAAAATAAGAGACTGCGAGCACTCTAGCGTTCTCGTACCTCGAACACAAATGCCTCTGTGAGAATTCGCGTGAAGTAAAATACTTCCAAATTTCGATGAACGTAAACAAAAATTAGAAAGCATTTGCCACTAAATAACCGCAGAAAAACGATGTATTTGAGAGTTATAGTGGTACGATTTACAAGTTAATTGCAAATGCTTGAATCCACACTCGGAACATTTGTTGTAATATTTCTTGCTTGCCTGCCTCTCCTAGGATTTTCGAGCGCCTAAAAAAATGGTATAATTGCCTACCTTTATAGGATTTTTACCCTAAAAAGGTCACCTAGAATTTTCGGGAGCCTTTTTTCTGGCTGAAATTTTCGAAAAAGTAAGTTTTGATCCCTATGATTTTCGGATCACTAGACTTTCAGCTAGGAAATCCGAACAGATGAAAATTTTTTAGGGGATAAAAATATGCCTATATCTACCGTTTGAATACTAAAATACGTTTAACAATTCTATGTTTAAGCGGTTTTGAACTATATTCTCGTTGGGTGCCTCTGCATTGTCACTGGGTCATTTCAAATGCGACTCGATTCTTATATTTCTCATATTTTCTCTATTTTTAAGGAAGGGTAGGAGAAACAATAATATCATTTTCAGTAAAGAGCAAGCTGAAAGATGCTACAAGCAAGCATCGATCCTCCCCTAATAATCTGTCGAGTCATGAAAGTTCGACTTCTTTCTGAGAAATGAAAACGCCTTCAGTGATATACATATCATTGAAACATAATTTACTGTTAATTATATCCTTGTTGCAAACCAACAATCGAAAACAGATCTCGATGACTGAGCTAGCCGTTCTTCCCAAATTTAGCAGACTGAGGCCAGTTGTCCAGGCGGCGTATATGAAGACGCTACTTCGCGACATACTCATTACAACCAGTATTACCTTATTCGGGTCCAAAATTTCACCCCGATCCTTTAGATTTTCGCAGATCCGATCTGTCATCTGTTGAAGGGTTTTGCATCCCTTGGTTGGAATGTTTAGATTGATCATCAAGGCAGTAACGTCAGCTATATCATCTGCTTCGTCGACCTTGCGTTTTATGGCCTCCATTGTTTCATCAAAAGGGAGTCCAAGTGAAGGCAAAATGACAACGTAACCTGATCACAGTCAACTTTACTTTTTGATTAAGACGCCATTTTTTGTTGTCTATTCTTTTGTTAATGTTTTCCTGTAAGCCAAGACACTACTGTTTTAAATTGATTAGAGAGAAATCATCGCTTTGGATTCTCCTGAGACTAGGGGTATGTTCTGATTAAACTGCTAATAAGATTGTTAAAACTGGCCTCAAGGCAACCTCGTTCCCAGGGTTCTCTCCTACCCGCCCTCTCTCGCTCCGTAGGGCGTTTAGGAGAGAACCCTGGGAACGAGGTTGGCTTCGAGGTCGTATTGTTTTCTCAGTAAACACAATCTGCCTTCCTCGGTAATTGTACACTGTTGTAAGATACCCTCACCCCCCGGATTTCTGTCGCCCTACCTCCAATACGTCAATTCTTAGAATAGTTATTTACGATTTATTTATACTATAGAAATCATGTGAAATAGGATTTTCGCAGTCAAATAGTTTCGTGTTAAATTTCATTTTTCTCAAATTTAACCGAAATCTCATTCAAATGGCTGCGAGAAAAACAAAGAGCATCGATGAAATCGACGACATAGGGGAGATGTTTGAGGCGATGGCGGCGCTTGACATTTCTTCGAAAGGGTTGCAAACGCTGCAAGATATGAAAGATCGAGTAAAATCTACAATAGACCAGTCTTCAAAATCACCAAGTTGGAGTGCAGGTCAGGTAAGAATGCTATAATAATTCACAATTTCAGTTTGTCATTTGCGTGTTGTACTGTTTGACAAGAGCAAAATATTGCATCATTCGTTTGCGTTGCTCATATAATTATCTAGGAGTACGAAATCGATTACGAGTACGACTTTGGAATTTGGAGCTTCTTGTATCCCCAAGAGTAATTGTTAGGATATTATTGGTGTGAGTAGTTAAGTAACTACAGTACTGTGCAAGAATATTGAAAGCGGGATTCGCCGAATTTCATCCTTTGTTCTCGCGAAAATTCAAAGAAAGTTCGCCACGAAATTTAGCTAAAGCGCCTGCGAATTTTCGTTGAGTCAAACGAAATTTCATTGTCTTGCGAAGAATCAGACACTAGTGTGCTTAGAACTAAAAAACAGGGCAAATAATCATTGGCCATGGCGGCCGAAACGCGGAGAATTTTTTTTGGCTTTCAAAGACGTTTTCTAGAAATTTTCTTCGTGCGGGCTACCCCTCGCGGGTTTAGGTCAAATTCAAAGGAAAACAAAAAACCCAGTTTTCATCACATTCTTTGGTTTAAAAGACTGTGGTGGTTTTAAAGGCAGACGAGAGATGTCACGATCTCAGGTGGTACCGTTCGCGATTTCTGCAAACTTTGATTGTAATCTTTCTGCGAAAGTCTACGCAAGTGAAAATCCATACAAAAATGGCGATGTTTTGGTTGGTTTTTAGCGCGAAAAATCCAGTGAAATCCGATAAGCTGGCATTAATGGAAGGTAAGATCTTGAATTTGATGTGTTTTGATATTAATATTCCGGTGGTACCCATTGAGATTTGGTTACAGTAACTCACAATCACAGACAAAAAACTCTCAAAGTCGCTCCAGTCTTATTATTCCGCCATATTTTAAAGACCAAATCGTGGCTCGAATGCGGCTTTAGCCTGTTAAATTCCCGGATGTGACCGGGCATTCTACGCGATGCCCATTCTGTTCTGGCGTGCCTTCGTTCCCTGTTACTTTTCTCCTTTTTCCGTGTTACGCATCAGCACAGGCTGAGTTGTTTACTAGAAAGGCTCGAAATCAAGGACCATCTTCTTATTTCCGAGGTGACACAATTGCACTTGTCAGTTTAATTTCCTCTGTGTCATATTGTGAACCTATGGGGCGTCGTTTGTAAAAATATTATTTAGAGCAAATCCATGCCTTTTTTTCACTATTTGTAAATAATGGTCAGCCGTCGAAAATTTATTTCTAAATAAGGAACAGCTACTTACTAAATGATATGTAAATCGTAATTTCTTGTCAAACCTGATATCTATATCTGCATGAAATATACAGTCACACAGTTTGCACGTGAAAGTGTAAGCTATAACTATATTAATAAGTTTCATTTTCGGCGGCCATAGCAATCGCTTCTTTTGGAATATAAATCAAGGAATTTACTTGTCAACTAATTTTTACGTGCTTTTCTTTACTTCTATTTCAATAAATGATATATTTTTTTCAAAATGCATTGTTTTCGTGTTTGGTGAATGCTGATCACGTGACCAACCGTTGAACATGCCGGCCTATAGTTCTTCATAAAATAACTAAGATAGTACGCACGTTCTGATTGGTTAAAAACCTATGGTTTATTGTGTCGGTAAACTCATAGAAAACTTAAAGTTATTTTATAAAAGCAATAGACCACACTTTCTATGGGTCAACCGGCGTGATAACCCACTTGGGATGTTGGGAGAACACTTGAACACCTAACATCCCGCGTAGGTTATCACGCCGGTAAACCCATAGAAAGTGTGACTTTGCTTAAGTACATACCTTGGCAATGTGAAGCTGACGGGAGAGGACGCAGGTCGGTTAGTTTTTCTTCTTTGTCAGTTCAACAACCACAGAACAGTTCAATAACCACGATTCCGTCGCTGGTGAAAACCAACCTTTAGCATAAAATTTTTTACAAACACGTCAAATGGAAGGGAGTGCACGTATACAGCAAGTAGAGTGGACATGCCAAACTCTTTTCAACTTTCGTTCTGTGGCTCGCAAAAGTATTGACGAAAGGACACATGTTAATGACATGTTAAGAGACATTTTTTAAAAAGTATTTGTCAAAGGAGAACCCTTAAGAATCCTACGAGCAAACTCCTCAAAAAAAAAAGAAAAAAAAAAACCGTGTGTAGCTACTCGCAAGTAGCAATTGGCAACCCGAAAGTAGCAAGTGGCAACTCGCTATTGTCGCAAGTAGCAGGTTGGAACTCGCAGGTAGCAAGTCGCAAGTAGTGAGTAGCGACTCGCAAGTAGCAACTTGCAATTCGTACGTCGCAAGTAGCAAGAAAAAGAAGAAGAAATATATATATGTCCCTTTGAAGCCCCCGTAGTTTTGCCGCGAGCAATTCAGTAACAACAATGTTTGCAAGGCTGCCATCAACACAACTTTACTTCTGGTTTGCCGATTGTAAACAACAATAAAAATGAAATTTTACATGTAAAGCTTGGGGAAAATATCTAAAAAATAGCAAAAAATGCAGAGATAATTATAAGAATGATTGTATCATTCCGACGTCCAAACACGATGAACTTAAACTATGACTTTAAGTTTGATGATACGCTTTTTCCGGGACTGATGAATTGGTTGTAATTCAGTTTTTTCTTGTTTTGTGTTTTTGTACTTCTTTCCCTAGGCGTTTTCCATCTTGACAGATGCACAAGAAGATGATATAAAGAAAAGAACAACTTTACTGAGTCTTTACAGTGGAGCCGAGGAATTAGTCAATAAACTGAACCCCAAAATTCGGGCCCTGCTACAGCAGAGTGTTGGTAATTTAGAGGAGAAGATTGAAAATCACCAACTGCAACTGACACGAAAGGAATACTTTGTGCTGGTGGCAGGTCAGAATCACTTTTCTTAAACACTTTGACAGGAGCCGAGCGCCCCATTAATTGAGGCTAAAATAGTAAATCAGTATATCCCCCCAACTAACCCTTTTCATTCCCCGAGAAAAAAAAAATCTATGAAAATGCGGTTTAGGACGGTTTTGAGGTAGGTAAGAATAGAAGGATTTTAAACTTAAACTTAATCTATGACTTTATCGGCGATTATAGACGATTAAACATTAGCACCCGACGTTTTTAATAGCCGTTTGTTTATCCCTCGCACGCGCATTTTGAGACAAGTTTAGTGACATCAGTTTCCGTGGTTACAAGTTATAAGTAGCAGGTGGTCAAGCCAAATTTTAGTTAAAATACACGTTTTTTTTTTAAA